AAATCGTATATAAATTTGATAAAAATAAAAAATATATATGTTTTATATTTTACGTATGGAGATGAATTATAATATTATAATTTTTATATTTATATACATATTTGACATAAAATAAACACAATATAAATATACAAATTACGATATCTAAAATTATTTAAACGCTTAAAATGCTTTTCTCTTTGGAAGTGCATCAATAATAATGCAAGAAAAGAACTACTAATAAAAAAATTAGTAAAAAATATATTTTTTTAAAAAGGGTTATTATTAACCTTTCCAAACCTCAAAAATGCATAGGAAAAAAAAAGTTATTAGATCACTTGACTGAAAAATCAATGGTCAGGGCTAACAGGTTAGGTGAGAACTCATAGGGTTGGATTAAATGAAAATGGGAAGAAGTTTAAGTGCAAATGCATTTATCACAATTGTTGAATGTCTTCCATCCTTGATATTTCTTTGTTCTTACTTTTTTTTTTCTTTTATGAGTTTCATTTATCTATTTAAGCTGCCTTTACATTATTAGATTATTCAATGATTTTCTTTCAATTATCCAACCAAAAAAAAAGTAAAAAAGAAGTATAATAAATTCCCATATATTCCCAATAGTTTTTTTTTTTTACCAAATATTTTATCGGGTTTAAATCTTCTTTAACAAAATGTACGTATCCCTTTAGAAAGAAATGAAAATTGTTTTTTTTTTTAATTTTTATTCTACCTTTAGGCCATTTTACTTATAAATTTATCTAGTTGAAAAAAAATTATATGTATAAACTCTTTTAAACTTATAAAATTTAAAAATCGGTCAACAAAAATTAACTCTATTTGTTTTTTAAAAGAACAAGTGCACATGCACCCACATGTACAAATCACATGTCCCCCTTGGACCCAACCCCAAGTGGCCAAAGCCTTTGCTTTGGCAACTCCAAGTTAACATGAGAACAATCAATTGGGACATAGAGAATGAAATTGAATATATGCATTAATACCTCATGTTAAGAGAGTGATACTTTGTTGGTGATCCACTACTATAGTGGTGTTCATGAACTATGTCATACGATCCAAATTTAAAACATAAAATTTAAATATATTCATTAAATTTAATTTATATAATAAAAATTAAAAAATTTTAAATATATATAAATAAAAACTCATGTATATATTTATATAATTATAATATTTTAATTATATATTTTTTAGACTAAATTTGAATTTTAAATTTTTTATCTAAGTTTCAACTCGAAACATAAATAAATCTAAAAATTGTGTCTAAACGCATTTAACGAATTTTAATTTTTGGTTTAAACATTTTCAAAATATAAACAAACCTTCGAATTTGAACAAAAAATTATATCTAAACTCATTTATCGAGTTTTAATTTTTTGTTTAAACTCTCTCAAAATATAAATCGACTTTCGAATTTGGACGAATAATCTAATTCTTAAATAAGTCTATTGTTTCCAAGGACTTAAAATCCTGTATGATAAAAAGGAAAATTTATGATTGCCATATGGGTGGAGAGAAAATAATATTTAAATTTAATTTAAACAATTCAATTAATTGTTTGAGATAAATTATATATGACCATTTATCATCATTTTGCAGCCAATCTCATGGGACTTTCATAATTTTTGTCTCCAATTTAGATAACAATATTAAAAATAAATGGAAAATCATAACATTTTTAACGAGCTTATTTGGAGAAAAGAAGGTTTTTTTTTTTTGTTTAAAAAATTGGAGAGAAATTATCATACATACATATATATATAAATAATATTATACATCGATTATGAGGATATTTTAATAATAAACCACTATGAATGATAGATTTTAATAAATGAAACATCTTTCATTTCATTAAGGCTAAAGCATATTAATTATATTTGTTTGTCTACAATTTATTTTTTCATTAAGACTAATAAATATTTGGAAACCCATAGTCATTTTATTTAATAAAGAGTAGTTACAATTTAGCATCAATCTAAGATAAATTGAATTTTCAAGACAAGTTTACCTTTATGTTAAAGCAAGACTTTGAAATTTGATTAGTTGATGAATGAGAGTTGTAACGGCCACAAATCAGTGAATCCAAAATCTACCATTAATTGGCCCCAAAGAATATGATGTTGAACATAATTTTGAACTACCAACATAGTGTTTTTTTTTTTTTTTTTAAATTTGGCTGGTAAGGGTTTTTTGGTCTTTATCAACACTTTTCTTTTTCGAGTTCGTCCAAACAAATTTATTTACATTTGATTTAAGAAGTTCATGAAATATTATCTTATTATAATTTCTCAATAAATTCGAACTCAAGCAATAAAGAGAAGAACACATTTTTTTAATCACTTAAAATACTTGTCACGGGTCGAGACTTAAGTTTCGAATTCGTGCGGTTTCGGGATCCAAACATCCATTCATTCGACGTCTCAGATCAATCTACCTACCACGATTCACACTTTTGTGAGGTATTGTCCGCTCTGACCTCCTGATCTCATGATTTTATCTTACAAAAGATGACTCACAAGGAAGAGGTAGTGTGAACTCTTTTATACTCCAATAACCTTCCTTTTATGTTCGATGTGAGATTTAAGGTTCTTCTTTAAGTCTGTGACATTTTCTCTCACCCAATCTCGTGACGCTCTCGTCACGGAGACTGACCATCCTATCTACCTCCTTCGACGTGTTTGATGTGGATCGAACGGTATAGAACTGATTCTGATACCACTTATCAATATAGATTTTTTTTTTAAAATTGTTTTTTAGATAGAAAAAGTGGAAAATGTCTAAAAAATAATTTATCAACTAAATTATGCTAAAACCAAGAGATAATTTTAAGAGCACGATACTTTAGTTTTGAAAGTTTTGAATTTGATATTTAAAAAATAATAATAATAATGATATGAAATATATGGATAGAATGAAATTTACTTACAATGGATTGCATAATCCAAAATCATATGTACATAAATAAAAAATAAAATTATCCAACACAAACAGAGATAGGTAAACATAAAGAATAAAAATATTATTCAAAACGAATTTTAGGAAGTAAATGATAAGATTTATGAAATGAAAAAGATTTAATTGTGAGGATTAAATGCAAAGGCTAATCTAGGGGATAGGCATGGCCATGGCCTCCTTAAAAAAATTTTTGATAGCCTTTAAATTATTGTTTTGACATTGATTTGGTACTGTTATTTTTATTTTTGGCTTGCTTCTAATTTAATTTGTTATTGGTTTATTTTTGGATTTCTTCTAATATTAAACTCTTAAAATTAAAAAAAAAAATTGGCCATATTTTCTTTTATAAATATATATATATATATATATCACTTATGGGTGTTGGCCTTTAAAATGACCATGTACAATCTTTAAAAAGAAATTATAGTTAGGCTGTGACACCCATTTTTTTTTTTCTAATTTTGGGTGAAAATAAATTTTGTATGTGTATGATACAAAATAAATAATACAATTAGATTGAATTGCAAATGAATTTTTTTTATATATAAAATAAATTGTTGCTCGTGGATCGAAGAAAAAATATAAATATTAAAATTTAAACTTTAAATTATAAAACTTAATTGAATTAAATCTTAAGTTTCAAATGATTTTTTTTGTAATTAAAGTTATCACGATTTAAATTTTAATCATTAAAATAATTCAATACTAATAAATTATTCGATCATTGAAAATAATCTTATTTTCTACATAGACGCTAATTTTGATTAAGAAATTTGGTAGTAAAATTTCATTTGAATATTTAATTTATATATATATATATATTAAAATTTATATGCATTTTTGTTTATCAAAAAGGGGTTTAATTCGATTCGGATCGGCATTTTTAAACATTAATCATTGGTAACCTATTAAAAACATTATGCTACAAATTTTCATGTCATTATAACATTATTATTATTCTAAATTAATCCCTCATGTCATGTGTCGTTGTTGGGAACTTACATTTTTAAAATGTGTGATGTAGGCTCTCCCACATCTTTATATCTTCCTAATAATATTTTGTTGAATTTAACACATTATTAAATTAAATTAAATCAATCCTGTCCATCACCATTACATATCTTTTTCTTATCAATATTGCTTTTCAAATGCATTTTTTTAACAAATTGTCAAAATACAACCACAATAGATTAAAAAAAAAAATTTTATATATTTGGATATATAATTATGTTGTAAAATTTTGGTAGAAACTTTGAAATTTAAAAATAAAATGAGATGGAGGAAGTAATAAGTATCAAATTAAGTTTTGTTTTATATTTTTATTTGTGTAACATCTTAAAGAATAAAAAATTAATGGATCAATGGAGAGGTAGATTTCATGAGCTATCACAATTTTAGAACTTATAATTCATGTGAAAACCTTTAGATAATTCATTCATGTCTTTGTGAATTGTGATTGAGATTGATGAGTATTTGAAGCATTTAATTTTTTTTTTCAATTTTCAGATTACAATTTTTTATATAAAAAATATATTTTAAAAAATAAAAAATTTAATTTTTTTACAATCGAATTTTAAGCTTAAAGGTATAATATCTTAAATTAAAATTATATGAATCAATTGAATTAAAATTTGAATTTAAAAATTTTTTTGTATATAACATGTTAATCAATACTAATTGATACTACTAATCAACATTTTTTCTATTTTTAGAGATAAAATATGCTAATAAAGTACTAATTTTACTATTTATATTTGGAAGCAACCAATTAGAGAAGGGGTATAAATAATATAATTGCATAAAATAAAAAAATTGCCCAAAATTTAATTTTCTTTTCAAAAAGGCCAAATTCAAGAAGAAGGCCATGTTTGGCAACAAGGATCTATTTCTCTTTCTCTCCAGTCCCGCGTTTATTTTACAAACAGCGACTCACTTTTTTTTTTAAAAATATATTCATTTAATTTATATATATATATATATATATAACATTTCTCTGTAAATAATCAACAATAATTCCAGTTTTTTTTTTTTTCAACTTTCTCCACAACAGTTCCTCAAGCCTCGGATTCTTTCTTTAAAATCCCACTCAAAGAATGTTCTTCTCCACATTTTCTTTGCTTTTTTCTCTTTTATAATTCCTTTGTCCAAAGAAAACATGTAACTGAAGAAATATATGGTTTTTTGTTCTTTGTATATTGGAAAAGGTAGGCTTAAAAGTTAATGTTTTTGGCTTATTTCTTCATCAATGCATTTCATTTACACTTTTTCTGTGGGATTTAAATTATGGGTTTTTCTTATCTGGCCTTGTTTTCATGTTTCATGGGTTAAAGGTTTTCTGGGTCTACTGTTTTCTTGCTTTGTACTGTGCTTGGTTGGTCAGAAAGCTTAGGAAAGGGAACTTAGAAACTCAAAAGCACTTTGCTTTCTTGAGACTCTATTGGAGTTCATAAGCTCTTTTTCTTTTTTCTCTTGGTTTGCCAGTTTCTTTTTACTTAGCAACCAAACAGATCAATAATGTAATTCCTGTTCTTTAATACATAATCAGCAGAAAGTTTCAGTTTTTGATTCATAGATGTATAATTAATAAGTTTCTGAATAATGCTAATCAGATCAAGTATATTTTCTTCACAACCTTTAGTCAAATCATTGTTTTTCTTTACTGAATTTTGTTTCTGGCGTCTTCTCAATCGGTTTCTTTTTAGTTTTTACAGTTATGGGAATTTGAGCAGCTTTTAGTGTAAGACTATTCAAATAGAAGACTAAAAATTTGTTCTTTTTGTCATGTATCTAATTTTGGCTTTTATTTCATTTGCTATGAAAAATGCCATTGAAGTTCAAAACTTGACCTTATAGTTTAGATAAATCAACATTGTTTACCTCAGAATTGTGTTACAGTTTTTTACTTCTACTTTTTTTATTGCCAAGTTGTTGATAGTTTAGAAATGGCTTAATTTGACTCTAGAATTGTATTTGCAGTTGTTTCAATGGACTGGAGGCTTGAATAGCAAATAGCAAAAGAGGGAGTGGAGATGAGGGGGGAGTCATCTGGTTTGATCATTGGGATTTCAATTGGAGTGGTGATCGGTTTGCTTTTAGCTATTTTTGCACTGTTTTGTATCAGGTATCATAGAAAGAGATCCCAGATAGGAAACAGCAGTTCCAGGAGAGCTGCAACTATTCCTATCTGGGCTAATGGAGCTGGTTCTTGTACCATATTATCGGATTCGACTATTGATCCTGAGTCACCTGTGAAATCTGTAAGAAATGGAATGTCTATGTGGATTGAAGGGTTTAGAAGAAGCAATGTTGTCTCTGTGTCTGGAATACCAGAGCATTCATACAAGTATGTTTCTTTTGAAAACTTGTTGCACTTATGCATTGTAGTAGTTGATTTTGAGTGGTATGGATTTTAACAAATATTTGTCTTTAGTTTTATATGTGATTATGATTCAATGAAGATGTATTAGTGACTAGTTTGTATTATTATCCATGTGATATGATTAATGATTTAATGGCTATGGGAAATTATTTTTGTAGTCCACTTTTGAATCAAGTTTGCTTAATTTTATCTTGTCTTACATTTGTGTCCAAAGGTAGATTGCATGATATGAACCTTTCAAGGTTTTCCAGTTTTGGAGTCTTTGAAGAAGGGTTTTTTTTTTTTTTTTTCAGTAAATATGACTTTCTTGATGAGAAACTAACTGGATTTCTTGTAGTTCGGTACTTATTTAATATCAGGCAGTTAATATCTCCAAAATCAAGCTAATGGCTAGAATGTAAGAATATGTTTGAGCCCTTAATACTTTCATTCATGTTATATTAAACTAGTTGTTAGTTGGGGGGGTGTTTGTGGCTTGAATATGTGTATTTATATGAGCTTTTTCCTTTATTTTTCTTTGCTAATTCGTTGATGGTGTTACTCATACAGGGATTTACAGAAAGCAACCTATAATTTTACAACACTAATAGGACAGGGGGCCTTTGGTCCAGTTTATAAAGCTCAGATGTCAAGTGGTGAGACTGTTGCCGTAAAAGTGCTTGCAACTGATTCTAAGCAAGGGGAGAAAGAGTTCCAGACAGAGGTAGGGGTGGTTAATAGTTGATATTTCTCTCTCATTGAATATTTTCATGACAAGATTTATCTATTCTGTGTGACAATTTGCATAAACATTTGTACAATAGTATTATTCTTGTTTCTACAAGATACTGCTACGTTTAGAATCTTCTGTGTTACCATCATTTGGCGTGTTTTCTTGTTTCTTAAGAGACAAACACAACTTGGCATGCAAGGAAGAATTTTAGTGCTAATATCTATTTTCACTTTTTTTGTAAGCAAAAACTGAAAGTAGAAGTTGATAAGTGAATGGTAATAGCTGCAAGATTTTTCATTTAAGGGATTGAGGTAAACAAAACTATGAATGCTTGGAACATCATGTTGACTGGAAAAAATTCTCATCAAAAGCAATTGACTACATGAAATTCAGGGAAAAACTTGATTAGCGAATCAAAGTCATGCACAATCTTTCACCCAACTTATTATTTGCCTTTTTTTAACATGCCTTTGCTGATTGCATATTGTTGTGTGTGTATGTGAGTTTTTCTCTTTGTTCCTTCCTGGAGTCACCAAATTGTTTAATGTTTCACCCTCTTAACATTTCAGGTTATGTTGTTGGGAAGGCTGCATCACAGAAACCTTGTAAATTTGGTTGGATATTGTGCAGAAAAGGGTCAGCATATGCTTGTCTATGTGTACATGAGTAAAGGCAGCTTGGCTTCTCATTTGTACAGTAAGTTGGGTGTCAACTCTCTCAGTAGAAAGATCAGTATATTTTTCCGAATGAACAAAACTGAAATATGGTACTATGGACTTGTATATGAGCTAGCTGGTCTCACTCTGCTCTAGGTTAACTTTTTTGTAAAACAAAGCTTTTCTGGATCTTTGGCATTCGATATTTTCTGTCGTCTAAAACTACCTTGTATTTTCTGCTGTTCTGCCTGTTGAATTTATAATATGCTGCTTTATTAGAACGCAAATGTGTCTTTTTATTTCTAGTTCATTAAGCTATTAGTTATGATGTCGTTGCTAAAAAACTCTATTAATGAACTGGCCAACCTTTCTAGAGTACCCTGTCAGCAGTGCTTTACTACTTAAATTTTGCAAATGAGTTGATACGGTGAAAACTAATATACATTGGATTACAATTAGCCTTGTATCAATTAATTATGATTTAGGAGGAACTTGTAGTCGCCTGCTCTTTGAAAATTCAATTCATATACAGTAGTTTCTATTAAGAACAGCATTTCATCTTTGTGCAGGTGAAAATCATGAACCTCTGAGCTGGAATTTGAGGGTTTATATTGCTTTAGACGTAGCAAGGGGCTTGGAATATCTTCATGATGGGGTAATACTTCTTATTTGGACTGTATGTGGACCTGTCTGTGTTTGCAGGCATGTATCTGCAGATTCATATGCACGTATTTTAGGCTGATTGTAAACATTTGTAAATTTATTCTTATTTCTTTTTCAGGCAGTTCCTCCTGTAATACACAGGGATATTAAGTCATCCAATATTCTGTTGGACCAGTCCATGAGAGCCAGGGTATGTTCTGGTTGATTGTTAATTATATATTGCTACAGGAGAAGCACGGAGTTCTGTTAAGATTCTATCTTGCTTATGTTTGGTTAAACCTTTTAATGTTATCCTTGGTTGATTGGACCTGTTCTTCTAGATTTTGTAAATAACTCTTAATTTCTGAAAGATTGGTATATTTATATGTACATCAATGAATATATGGCTTAATCTTATGGGACTGCCATCTCAAGCAGGTGGCCGATTTTGGGCTTTCAAGAGAAGAGATGGTAGACAAACACGCAGCTGATATACGTGGAACTTTTGGATATCTTGATCCAGAGTATATATCTACAAGCACCTTTACTAAGAAAAGTGATGTTTTCAGCTTCGGGGTATTGCTCTTTGAAATCATAGCGGGCAGAAACCCTTTACAGGGTCTCATGGAATATGTTGAGCTAGTAAGATCTCACTCTCACCTTTTTTTCTTAAAAGTTAAGCTTGTGTCCATGCTGTTCTGAATATTATAGTGATATGACGAACAGGCAGCTATGTGTACTGAAGGGCAAGTTGGGTGGGAGGAAATTGTGGATTCGCGATTGGACGGGAAATTTGATGTGCAAGAGCTGAACGAAGTAGCAGCTGTTGCATATAAATGTGTCAACCGTGTTCCCAAAAAACGGCCTTCCATGAGAGACATTGTGCAAGTTCTAACACAAATCCTTAAAACGAGACACAGCAAGAAGCATCATCAGAAGTCCCTATTTGCAACCGCAGATGAGGTTTCAACTGACTTAGAACAAGGAGAAACTAAGATTCCGATAACTGAACACAGGAGAGATGAGTCCATGGACAGTGCAGGTGACACCTTTGAAATGTAGTAAATGGTTCTTCCATTTGTTAAAATTTCTTGGTTTGGTTTTGTTTTTGATATACGTCCGGATGTAAAGTTGCTAAAGCAAAAGCAGGTTTGTTTGTAGTATTTGATTGCTCTTTTGAGTTGGTTTAGGGTAAAGGGATTGTTTAAAATTTGGTGTAACATAGATAGGTTTCCCCTTTTTTATTAGAAATGAAAAGGAATGAAATTTCTAATTAAACCTTTTAATTTTAAACTAAAAACGTGATCGAAAAAAAACATAAAATTTAAAATTTTAATAAAAATTATTAAATTTTAATAAAAATCATTTATGAATTCAGAAAATAAATATTAATTTCATATTTGATGTTTGGATATAATAAATTTGTGTTTTACGTGTTTAATATGAAATAAAAAGATAAGAAAATATAAAATTTCAAAGTTAATTTTAATATTATTTGATTTTAATAAAATTTGTTATTATAATTATATAAAAAATATACAATAAAAAAAGCATAATTAAGCTCTAAAAAGAAATTTTAAGTAGAAAAAGAAGGAAGAAAATTTTATTATTTTAAAATATTTCCTTTTTAATTACAATTTTAAGCCCAAAAGCCAATTACGGCCTGAAAATTTATGTACACGTCCTTAACGCTGTCGTTTCTAACACGATCTATCCTTCGTTACCCGCCTATGACAATGACATATTTATAATCATCCAAAGAATAGCAGGTCTCGACAGCTCGAATGACAGAACCGTTGAACTGTTGAAGAAGGCAAAACAATGGCAGCCATGACTGGGTTGCAAAGCTCAATGACTTCTCTTTCTCTGTCTTCAAACTCCTTCATGGGCCAACGTCTCTCTGTCCCTCTCTCTCGCTTCTCCTTTTCCTGTACTTTCTCTTCACTTTTTTTTCCTCTCAATTCCATCAAAATTTTTAACCTCATTTTTTTGGCTAAATTTACACTTTTTCCTCATATTTTGATTCTTTCAAGGTTATATGGAAATGGGTATTTCATGAATTTCACTCTTTTTTAATTTTAGTTTTACCTTAGAGCAGTTTCCCTCACTTTTTTGGTGTTAAAAGGACCAAACTTTTACAGATAAAAGCTATATAATTTATTTGATTGCTCATTTTTCTCTGTGTTGATTGAAGTGTTTTCTTGATGATACTCAAATGGTTCCTTTTTTTAATGAAATTGAATTATGTTTGTTTGATAATTTGCTAAATTTGAGCTTCATGAGATGGTGTTGCATAAAGCAAGTTTTTTTTTCTTTTAGTTGTTCAAATAAGGAGGTTAAAACATTTATGAAAGCACAAAAATGCTTTGCTAAGTCATTGGAATTGTGCTCATATTGAGTCCATTTCTCCTAAGATTGGTGTTTTTAGGCTTTAGAAGGGACATTTGTCACTATCTATATCCAATTAGTAACAAACTTGTCTCAGGTTTTTGTTAGGTAACTTATTATGCGTCAATGCAAGTTCACAATGTATTAAATTACTGAATTTGTAACTAAGGGAAAATGGATAGATCATTTTCTATTATTTGCACTTTTGTTCTTTTCATGCCCAGCGTAAATAGTGTTATCTGCTATAAGTTATGCTTTTTAAGATTGATTAATGTTTAGGACTTTGTTTACCGATGTTGTTTTGATTTATTTGGTCTCCATTGGTTATCTCTGTACTTGAAAATTGTACAGTCAAAATGGTTGTTAATAGATGATCTCTATTGCTTTTAATTTTGATTTCTTGCTGGCTTTTATGTGCATGAATTTGTTTCTATTTTGCCCAAAAAAAAAAAAGTTTGCATCTATGAGAGATGAAAACAAGAAATGAAATGGGAGTATGCTTTGTTTACATTACAGTTGGTATGGTAACATTGTGATTTTCTTTGCATTCAGAAGTTTACAACATTTTTTGAGATCAAGATAGTGATTTGTGACAGTTGAGCTCTTTAACCATGTCATTACTTTTAAATTACAGTTTGACTCACTGCATTGCATCCATAATGAAATAGTGATTGCTGGAAATTTTGATAATAATTCACTGTTTTTATGGTGTGCGGGTCAAGCCAAGAGAGAATCCATGTCTCATTGTTGTGAAGATTGGTATTCTGCTTCCTTTTTGTCATGCAGTTATTTTCATATGTTAACCAAAATTTCTGTGCAATGAGAGAAAAGCATGAACCATAGAAACGGTAAAGTGGAATATTCGCTGCTGCTTTCTGATCAAGTGCCTTTAAGTTTTTGTTGCAATGCCAATAACATATGCCTATTTCATTGTGGACTTTCCAGAGGGATTAGGGAAGATATTTGATTTCTTCCATTGATGAATAAAAGGGATATACTTTCATACGAATTTTAGATAGCCTAATTCAAGTTACTTTTCTGTTCATGCTAATAAATGCATTGTTAGCTTAACAGGTGACTCAATGTAAATAAGTTCAAGCCTTATAAATTATGGGCTTATTGTGAATTCTGCATTCTCTTCGAAAAGAGTACTATTGTGGGACTCCTTGTTTTTTGATGTCTGACATGTTTACTTTTCTATGGTGTTTACTGTTTCTTTTTTTTTCCCTGTAACTTGCAGCTTAAACATGGGAACGGAAGGAATGTAAGCCAAACTGCCTCCCGGTTTTACATAAAATGCATGTTAAGGTTGGAGATATCATTAAACAGAGGGAAGCTAGGAAAATAGAAAAGGGGGCCAAATATTAAATTCAAGAGAGAAGAGGGGGCCAAGTATAATATCTGATGGGATTCGTCACAATTCTATAAGGGGGTTAAAAATTTTTTTTTTTTTTGGGGGGAGGGGGCCATGGTCCCTGCCTGCCCCCCTTTGGCTATGTCCCTGCCATTAAAGTAATATCTGGCCGTGATAAAGTAAAACTTGGAGAGTTAACCAAGATCTTTAAGCATAACAGCAACATTGTAGTGAAAGATATAAACCTGATGACTAAACATATGAAGAGCAGATAAGAGGTTCAACCAGGACAGATAATTAAGGCCATTTATGCCATTCAATTTTACTTTAAAAAAAAAACAAAAACTTCATATGCTTTTATTGATTCTCTATTTTGGAAAGTGGTCGTGCCTGGATTCAAAATGTTAGGGTCTATCTGTTATAAATCTTTCTTACGTTAATTTCTTGGTGTATGTTTATTTTTCTTTCCTTTTTTTTTCTCTTCGTGGCAGTGGCATGGATAGGAGTATGTTTCTCTGCATTCCTTGCTCTGGTTTTTTAGACTATGAGTATGGTTCCTGGAAAGCTATATATATTTTTGGCATACAAGAGTACATAGTGAAACTATCCTTGTCATCTCTGACTGTTATATGTCTATCTCATTTGCCTGTGTAAGTGTTTTAATTGTGGTGTTCCAGATTGAAGCGCCTATTCACAGCTCAAACCCGATGCTTGATTCTAAAGAACAAGATGACACTAGCCAGGTGGGTAATAAAGTTTTAGATAATGGGAAAAAGGTCCGCAACCTTGTAAAGACTGGAGAAATCATCGACAGTGATGAAATCTGGAAGAAACTGAAGGTAGCTGTAACGGAGAAAACTGAAGTCACTGCTGCTGTGTCTTAGACCCTAAACTCATAACTTCAATATCAAATGTAGCTCCTGGAAATCTTGATGTTTTTTGTCATCTTCCATCTTTATTCTCCGATTACGTTAAAAATCTTGAAAGCTTGTCATTTGTAAATCCGTTCTTTTTCCTAGCAGTATATATTTCTGTGGATCTATGAATATATTGTATGGCAAACAAATGTGCAGAGAGTTCATTTCATGCATTTAAACATGGTTGGCATTCATCGGAAGCTAAGCATTATCTAAAGAGTCCAGAGTATGGATGACGAAAACAGCATAAAACTTCAAAGATTGATGTCCTTATGGAAATATATAAAATTTAACCAATTCCACGTTCCACGGATTCATTTTTTTTCATTCTTTTCTTGTTTCTTTGTTATGGCTTTCTCTTGCTGTCCATCCTTCTCTTAGGGGTATTTTGTGGTAAAAGGGGTAAAATGAATATTTTATCTCGGAACGTGAGTCATATGAAGATAATTTTATCAATTTCATTCGATCAATTAGAAACTTGAGAGATTTCACTTTAACTCAATCACTTTAGTTGATTTGTTGATATCATATGAGAATGTTGACTTGTCATTTTTCAATTGCATAATTTTATCAATTTCACTCAATCAATTAGAAACTTGAGATTTCACCTTAACTCAATCACTTTAGTTGATTGATTGATATCATATGAGAATGTTGACTTGTCATCTCTCAATTGAATTATTTGATAATGTTGACTTGTCATTTTTAAATTAAATAATTTTATCAATTTCACTCGATCAATCAAAAGCTTGAAATTTCACCTTAACTCAATCATTTTAGTTGATTAGTTGATATTATATGAGAATGTTGACTTGTCATCTCTCAATTGGATTATTGATCGTCTGTTTAGGTTGAGTTGTTAATATTAATCTTAATTTTATCACTTGAAGCTGACGTTATCTTAATTCATCACTTCTATCACATAATTCTTTTTATTTTTATTTTTAGAGTCTTAATTTAAACATTGAAACATAAAAATTTTAAAAACTTTGGATTTTTTATTAATCGATTATTTTATTTTTTTATAATTTCAAGTTTCTGTTCTCGTCAAAACAGTTCGACACCAACACTATTGACGACGATCTCAAAAAACTTGTTAGAGGCCCTAGGCAGAGGCAGCATCTGATGCGCTATATTCTTGCAGTTAGTTAGGCTATATATTTTTTATTTTCCTTTTTCTTTTTAACGTAAAACATCACAGTCAACGAAATTTTCTCATACATCTCTTAGACCAAGGGAACCAAATACTTAAGTGCACGTATCAAACGGGTATTGGAATCTAAAGGAAACCAAATGCTTCACTGCACGTATTAAATCATGATTCAAATCTAAATCTTTGAAGAAGAAAAGACATATTGACGGTTGAACCAAATGTTCTTGCATTTTAATGACTGCGTAAAGTGATAAAAAGAGATGTCGTCAAACTTTAGGGCTCTAAGCCTAATGTTGGAGAGCACGTTCTTTGTATGAAGTGACAAAAGGAGTGGTAATCAAACTTTTAGTCTTTAATCCTAAGGAATCGATGACGGTGCTCTTTCCAATTTGTTTAGATTTTATTTGAATATATGATAAAATTAATTTTGATGAGATTAAAAATAATAATAATTATTATTATAATTATGATTAAGAAAATATAAAAAAATGCTAAATTAATTTTATTAAAATTAACATTTAAATTTAATCAATTGTGTGATGAATTCAATTGCATCACATTAAAAGTGAGATCGAATCTAAACCCGTACTTAAAATGCTACTTCATCTCCTCTCTTTTCATATCATTTACATATTTTCATTGTATTTAGATAGAGTGAAATGATATATACAAAAATAAGTTATAAAACCGAAAAACACTTAAAAATTTAAAATTTTAGTATACTTAATTTTTTTAAAGATTGATTAATGTTTAGGACTTTGTTTACCGATGTTGTTTTGTTTTATTTGGTCTCCATTGGTTATCTCTGTACTTGAAAATTGCACATTCAAAATGGTTGTTAATAGATGATCTCTATTGCTTTTAATTTTGATTTCTTGCTGGCTTTTATGTGCATGAATTTGTTCCTATTTTGGCCAAAAAAAAAAAAGTTTGCATCTATGAGAGATGAAAACAAGAAACGAAATGGGAGTATGCTTTGTTTACATTACAGTTGGTATGGTAACATTGTGATTTTCTTTGCATTCAGAAGTTTACAACATTTTTTGAGATCAAGATAGTGATTTGTGACAGCTGAGCTCTTTTACCGTGTCATTACTTTTAAATTACAGTTTGACTCACTGCATTGCGTCCATAGTGAAATAGTGACTGCTGGAAAATTTGATAACGATTCACTGTTTTATGGCGTGCAGGTCAAGCCAAGAGAGAATCCATGTCTCATTGTTGTGAAGGTTGGTATTCTGCTTCCTTTTTGTCATGCAGTTATTTTCATATGTTAACCAAAATTTCTGTGCAATGAGAGAAAAGCATGAAGCATAGAAGCAGTAAAGTGAAATATTCGCTGCTGCCTTTTGATCAAGTACCTTTAAGTTTTTGTGGCAATAACACATGCCTATTTCATTGTGGACTTTCCAGAGGGATTAGGGAAGATATTTGATTTCTTCCATTGATGAATGGAAGGGATATACTTTCATACGAATTTCAGATCTCCTAATTCAAGTTACTTTCCCTTTCGCGCTAATACATGCATTGTTAGCTTAACAGGTGAGTTCTATGTAAATAAGTTCAAGCCTTATAAATTCTGCGCTTATTGTGAATCCTGCATTCTCTTTGAAATAGAGTATTATTGTGGGACTCCTTGTTTTGCGATGTCAGACATGTTTACTTTTCCATGGTGTTTACTGTTTCTTTTTTTTTCCCCCTCTACCTTGCAGCTTAAACGATGGGAATGGAAGGAATGTTAGCCGAACAGCCTCCTGGCTTTACATAAAATGCATGTTAAGGTCGGAGATGCCATTAAAGTAATAACTGGCCATGATAAGGGAAAAATTGGAGAGTTAACCAAGATCTTTAAGCATAACAGCACCATTGTAGTGAAAGATATAAACCCGAAGACTAAGCATATGAAGAGCAGAGAAGAGGGTCAAACAGGACAGATAATTAAGGTCATTTATACTGTTCAATTTTACTTTCAAAAAGAAAAAAACTTCATATGCTTTTATTGATGCTCTATTTTGGAAAGTGGTCATGCCTCGTTTCATAATGTTAGGATCTATCTGTTATATATCTTCTTATGTTAATCTCTTGGTGTATGCTTATTTTTCTTTCCTTGCCTTTTCCCTCCGTGGCGGTGGCATTGATAGGAGTTCGTTTCTCTGCATTCCTTATTCTGGTTTTTTAGACTATGAGTATGGTTCCTTGAAAGCTACATGTATTTTTGGCATGCAAAGAGTACATAGTGAAAAAATCCTTTTCTTCTCTGCCTGTATATATATATATATATATATATATATATATATATGTCTATCTCATTTGCCTGTTTTAAGTGTTTTAATTGCGGTGTTCCAGATTGAAGCGCCTATTCACAGCTCAAATGCGATGCTTGATTCTTAAGAACAAGATGCCACTAGCTGGTTGGGTCATAAAGTGTTATATAATGGGGAAAAGGTCCGCTACCACGTAAAGACTGGAGAAATCATCGACAGTGATAAAATCTGGAAGAACTGAAGGTAGCTGAAAAAAAGAAAACTGAAGTCGTCGCCACTGTGTCTTGGACCCTAAACTCATAACTTCAATATCAAATGTGGCTTCTGGAAATCTTGATGTTTTTCTGTCATCTTCCATCTTTATTCTCCAATTACGTTAATAATCTTGAAAGCTTGTCATTTGTAAATCCGTTCTTTTTCCTAGCAGTATATATTTCTATGGATCTATGAATATCTTGTATGGCAAACAAATGTGCAGACTCAATCCAATCAGAGAGTTCATTTCATGCATTTCAACATGGTTGGCATTCATCCGAAGCTAAGCATTATCTAAAGAGTCCAGAGTATGGATGACGAAAACAGCATAAACTTCAAAGATTGATTTCCTTATGGAAATATATAAAGCTTTAACCAATTCCACATTCCACGGATTCATTTTTTTTATTCCTTTCTTGTTTCTTTGGTATGGCTTTATCTTGCTATCCATTATTTTGTGGTCCAAGGGGCAAACTAAATAATTTATCTCGCAATGTGATTCATATGAAGATAATTTTATCAATTTTATTCAAATTAATGTGTCGAGTTAATTTTAAATTTTAAATTTTATGTCAACTCGATCATTTTAATTGATCGATTAATATCATATGAAAATGTTGACTTATTACTTTTTAATTAGATTGTTGATTGTCAACTCAGGTGAAGTCGATAATATTAACTTTAATTTTACTACTTGAAGCTTAAATTATTTAGATCTAACATGTCTACTACATAATTATAAATAATCTCTCTTAAATACTATTAAATCAATTCAATTTCAATACTTATTTTTAAGTTGGCTCTTCTTATTTTCTTTTAAAGTATTAATTTAAACATCAAAACACAAATATTAAAAAACTTCCCATTTTTGTTATTAACCGATTAATTTTTATTATAATTTAAAGTTTCTGTTCTCGTTAAAACAGTTCGACACCAACACCATTGATGACGATCTCAAAAAACTTGTTAGAGGCCTGAGGCAGAGGCGGCATCTGATGAGCTATATTCTGCAGATAGTTAGGCTACATATTTTTTATTTTGCTTTTTCTTTTTAATGTAAAACATCACAATCAACAAAATTTTCACATACATCTCTTTGACCAAGGGAACCAAATACTTAAGTGCACGTATCAAACGGGTATTGGAATCTAAAGGAAACCAAATGCTTGAGTGCACGTATTAAATCATGATTCAAATCTAAATCTTTGAACAAGAAAAGACATTTAAATAGACAGATTTACGGTTGAACCAAATGTTCTTGCATTTCAATAAGTGCGTAGAGTGGAAAAAGAGATGTAGTCAAACTTTAAGGCTCTAAGCCTAATGTTGGAAAGCACGTTCTTACATTTTAGTAACTGTTGTACGAAGTGACAAAAAGAGTTGTGGTCAAACTTTAAGGTTCCAATCCTAAGGAATCAAGGGTCGTGCTCTATTTAGGATTCATTTTTATGGAGAATAAAATTAAAAATAAAATTAAAAATTATTATAATTATGATTAAAAAAATTTATATGTTAAATAAATTTTATTAAAATTAATATTTAAATTTAACCTATAATACGATAAAATTAATTACATCAAATTGAAATCCAAACCCTCACCTAAAATGCTACTTCATCTCCTCTCTTCTCTTATCTTTTACATATTTTCATTGCCTTTAGTTAGAGCAAAATGATATATGCAAAAATAAGTTATAGAATTGAAAAATAACTAAAAATTTTAAAATTTTAGTATATGTAATTTTTTTAATTTCTTTAATTTCAAGACTGATTTAAAAAAAATTAAACAGAAGAAAATTAAATGCAAAATATAGTTAAATGCAAAATACAAAAAAAAAAAAAGCACACATCTATCATTAAATCAAATATTTGAATATCAATGATCATATAAGAAGCAATTAACAAACTTTTGAGGTTCAATTGAGTCCATGTTCCTAATTAGGTTAAAAAGGTAATAAATGTGCTGGAAGATTTGGGAGTCTAGATATGCTGTAAATATTTCAGGATAGCCTTTTTCTTCCATTGTAGAATTGGTGGATGATATCATTGTAGCTCTTTTAAAGCTGTTTTGCTTCCTCCAGACATTGATGGACTCACACCCGAAAGCAAAATCTAGCGGAAACCCACCTCCCGCTGGTTTGGCTTAATCTTAAAACTAATGGGCCAACTTTGCACATGAGATAGAGATTGGATTATTGGTGCTTTTATATATATATATATATATATATATATTGTAATTTTGGAGACTAAAGATATAGTTTGTTAGTATATTTGTAATTTGTTTATTTCATATTAAATACATCCAAAAATGAAAATAATTATATTATAATTTATATTAATATCTAAAATGCAAAATTTATTTTTTGGTTTTTACCAATTTTATATATGATTTTTAAAAAAATTTTAAATCATGTAACTTTTATTTTTTTTAATATTTTTTTTATATAATATTACCATATCATGTTTAGAATTATTAGATTTATTAACTAAGTTCGAACTTGTTTTAAGTAGGGAATTGGGAAATTTGAGAGTCTTATTTGGAAAATTTTCCTCAAAAAAGTATTTTAATTTTTCTTATTTTTGGATAGAAGTTTTCTTAAAGTATTTTTTTTTCTTCATTATTGGTTAGAAGTTTTCCCAAATAAAGTTTTCTAAAAAAATTTGCAAATAAAATGAACCTTTTCATAAACATCAAGTTATTTTGGAAAACATCCTTTCATTATATGACAGCATATTAATGCAAATACAATGAACCTTATCTCCCAACAACCTTTTAGGTTAAAATTTCAAAACTCACGTGCATGATATAATAGAGAAAGGATATGGCCACCAGTCAAAACTCACGTGCATACCAGCAAAAAAAATATTTATAACATATGGCCACCATGCGTGTCATGCTTCACAAATTTCCAAATCGCATTGAAGTCTTTTCTATAAAAGGATTATTATAATTATGGCAATTTAATATGATAAATCAGATGATGAGTTGTCTGATAGCTTGTTGATTGATCTTATAATATAAATTATAATATTAGAAAAATTTACTAACCTATATATAGGTTTTGACTGGGGTTGGGGGGGAGGTTTGATAGAAGAGAGTTAGAAGAGGATGGAGAATACTCTTGGTGCTCCGGCGGAGGGCGAGATGGCGGTGGCACCGACGTATTGTGTCACCGGCGCCACCGGGTACATAGGGTCTTGGTTGGTGAAGCTTCTTCTCGAAAGAGGTTATAAGGTTCATGCCACAGTCCGAAATCCAGGTTTCATCTCATTTCTTTGACATAATTTACAAACAACAAGAAATGCATTTTTTTTTTTTTTGTCTTTTAAATTAAAGTTAAGGTTTGAACTCGGAATTCTCAATTCTAGAGCCGACTTCAGTATCATTGAGTTAACAGATGCTTGATGTTTATTTATATATGTTATATAGAAGAGATAGCTATTACCTTGGCAAAAAAAAAAAAAAAAGGATAGCTATCATTACCACCTAATTAACATGCAATTTTTAGTATGAGAATGCAAATTTATGGTGCATATGTTACTTTCTAAAAAGGAAATAATGAGTATTATTCTTCATTAAAATTATGCTAGTAATGTAATTAATTAATTAATCAGAAGAAATTAAATTAGAGATAATACTAATCTTTTTGATCTGATATAAAAACCATTTTTTTTTG